GCAGGTACTGCTGCCACTGGCACGGGGCTTATTTGATCCCATAGAGGGATTTGACCAGTTGGCAGACTAGTGTTGGATCGTCGATGTAGGCATGGGGCTGCTTGACGAAGTTGTCAGCATCAACAAGGGCATAGAGGAATGTGGTGGCGACGTCGATTTGTCGCAGAGGAAGGCAGCGGGCAGCGGCCATGGCGAGGAGAATTCGAAGGGAAGTGTGGCGATTGTCTGGAGCGAATGTCTCGCTGTAGTCACTGCCGTACTGCTGGTCGAAGCCGCGAACCACCCATCGTGCCTTGAATCGTTCGATGGTCCCATCTGTCTTGGTGTTCACTCGGAAGACCCACTTCCGGGAGAGGATGGTCTTCCCCTTGGTATGAGAAATCGGTATCAGCTTCCACGTGTTTCGCTCTTGCAGTGTCGCTAATTCTCGATCCATTGCCTCCCTCCATTTTTCCCTGTGTGGTCCTTTCAGGGTTCGCTTGATGGTCTTTGGCTCGTTGACTGGTGGCGGTGAGGACGGAGGATGCACGGCTGCTATGAGTCCGAGGATTTGCAGGCCACTCTCGGTGTAGCGGGGAGTGTTGGATCCTCGGGATAGTCAGCCTCGTCTCCCGCTTTAGGATCAGGTACGAAACTTGGTCCTACTCAGTCTGAAACGTTGGTGTCGACGTTGTGAGGAGTTACGTAAACAGTATCGGCAAAGTGGGAGTATGCTTTGGCATTCGCGCTGTCGCAAGGGTTCTCTTCGTCCATCTGCATGTTGTCGGAGCAGTAAGGAAGTGGTCCTGCAGTTGCTGACGCATCCGGGACGTTCTGCCCCTCCAGGTCAGCTTCTTCTTCGGTCGAAGCGAATGCGCATGCGTCAGCAAAACCACCGGATGGGTCTTGATTGGATGCGATGTTCTCCAGGTAATAGTTGAAGGGGAGGTTCTCAGATAAAATCACATCGCGTGCCGGCATTGTTTCCTTATCTTCCATGTTGAAGATTTTCCAAGCCTTGTAGTGTTTTTCCATACCGAGGTGTAGACCTTATCTTGCCCGCTGCGAAAATCGTCCAGCGCGTGTAGTGTGCGGACGGTAATGTACCATGCAGCTAAACACTCGTAACAATTTTCAATTGCCCTACTTCCCTGTCCACTGCAGATGCGGTGATGCGTTGTTTGGCAGGGAGCTTGACGACATAATATTCTGCAGCATAACGGCGTGGTTCATCGCCTCCCGCCACTGCGAGTTGGGCAAGCACATTCCAGTCAGCAACTTCCTCATGGTGTTCTGGAGTGTTCTGTTGATCCTCTCTACTACACCATTCTGTTGGTGAGCGTAGGGGAGGGTGACGAGCCTCTTGATTCCTCTCTCTTCAAGGTAGTCCCTGAATCGTTGTGACTGGTATTCCATCGCCCCGTCTGACTGAAAACATTTCAGCTTCGTGTCTCCCTCCCGTTATACTGCAGCAAGCCATGCGACGAAAGCAGCGAAGGCAAGGTCGCGTGATTGTAGGTTAAGGTGCCAGGTGTATCGTGTCGCGGCATCGACGAAGATGATAACGTAGTTGAGATCGGCCTGGCCGACTTCTCGTGGGATATACAGTAAATCACAGTATACCTTTTCGAGTGGAGCGTACTTTGGTGCGCTCGGGTTGTGATGTGACGGGCAGATAAATCAGGTGCATCAAGGTCGTCGAAGTTCACGACCATCGAGAAATAGAAGAGCATCCTTGTCCAAGACATTTGCACAAATAGTGTTGAAGAGTCTTGAATTGTCGGGATGTCCTAACCTTTGATGCCATATATCTTCGCTTGCCTTGTGTCCCACGGAGCGTCGGTACATATCCGAGTTGGCAGAGAAGGCCGAGACGGTCGCGGCGCTTTGATACTGCTCGCGAGGATGCGCCTTCAGTTGCTCAGCGTTGGTCGGCGGAGGCTCATCAACGGGTGACGTTACAGGCGGAGTTGCTTCAACGGGTGGCGCCGACGAAGTCCCAGCGATGGGACTTTCATGAAGTGGTCTTGTCGGCGCTTGTGGTTCTGCTGCATGCTGTATTTCTGCTTCTTGTTCCTCTACTTCCTGTGTCATTGCTAATGCCCGTGTGCTCTCTGCTTCAGGGATGGTGTTGGAGTACAAGAAACCATTGCGGTCAAATCCGGGATCAAGATCCGGCGGGGGCGTCCAGGGCGCGAAGGAGATGACGCCATCGCTGCCAGCGGTCCGGTGGTCTGGAACAAAGTCCAAGATGAAGACGCCGTGCTTCCAAATGGCTCTGCCGATGAAGAGACCGCCCTTCCCGTGGTAGAGACAGAACTCCCAATCGAAGCTTGCTGAATACCCTTCGATATGAGCTTGCTGACGCTTAGTAGATTGTAGCCGAGGTTGTCGACGACGAGCACTCGTAACATCTGTAGTATCACGTTTGTCTTGCTGGATTGGAACTGAACACTCCTTGTTTTCGTGTGCGCAGGTTCTGGTTATTGGCGACGGTGATGACGACTTCTCGGTGCAGGGTCTTCTCTTTCTGGACGAAACGTATCGAAGAAACCATGTGTCGCGGCCGGACGATTCGTCGCGAGCTATTGCAGCGTAAGAAGGGTTTGGTTGGAGACGGGTCTGTGTCAGAGCGGGGGGCTGTTCGTCAAGATCGCAGTGATGTGGGGAATCAGGTCCATAAATATGCCAAAGTTGCGATACGTGCGAATGCTTTGTTGTTCTGTTGCTGTCAGGTTGCGCAGGAGGTTGGTGAAGGCCATCAGCGGCTGATAAGTGTAAATCTTCTTCTCTTGAGTAGTCCCGTTTACAGGAAAGGGCTAGGAGCCAATGAAGATGCCGAGGATTTGCGCGCCGTCCATCAGCAACTCGAACTCGAAGCTCCAGGCAAAGTAGTCCTTCCCGTTGAAAGGTGAGGACGTCTGTAGTTTCAAAATATTGCTGAACTGTTGTTGCATGGTGACAATGTCTGTCTGCTTCTCAGCTGTCTCTAAGTCCACTGCCGGCGCGAGAGTCAGCAGGAAGGTGAACGAGACTAGCGAGGGCTGGTAAGGTTGATGCTGTATAGGTTGTGCACCTCTTGCGTACAATGCGTTGTCGAGGCTCATTGGGACTGCCCCACTGCTGTTGTTGCCGTGTGCCGATTCAGCAGGTGTCGAAGACTGCTCGTAGGTTGAAATGAAGGAGAAGAACTTCTCCATTAGATTCAGGTCCATGCCCATGGAGGAGGCCACTGGTTGCGTGGAGGCTCCTGCTGCTGCGACTGCCTCAGTCTGTAGTCCAGAGACTAGGGGTGCAGAGGGGGATTTAGTAGAGGATCTATCGCCTTTAGATGGCGCCATGTCTTGTATCCTTGATTGATGAACTTGAGATTGTTGTGAATGGCTTTGTAACAGGAGCATAGCTTCTGATCTGCTCTCATACCATGTTGGGCTGAGAATAGCCCAAGGATCTTTTCATAAGGCTAGGTCCCTGTAACAGAGTGCTTGATAGCACAGCGGAAGTTTTGAGTTGAACCCTTGTACTGGCATGTGAGAACAAGTGATTGATTATGGCAAAGGGATACAAGGTTTATATGATAATACAAGAGAATATGAAGACTCTAACTATTTGACGACTCGATAAAGGCGACTCGGGTAACCACCCGTACTGTAATGTCGGGACGATTATTTATCCTTACTGTTACACTGACTCTTGACTCTTGCGATCTGACTGTTGGGTTGCATGGTCGATGGTCTACGATAGTTGCCCTTTCGTGACCTGTGCGGGGTGTCGTCAACCCGTGTCAATTGCCGGTAGTGCTGTAGAATATTTGACTCGGTGATCCCCGTTGTTGCAGTCTTCGCGTATTCGTACACTCATGCAAGACTCCAGAAATGTCTTAAAGCAAGAGGCTAGAAAAGTGACCCCCTTTTCAAGTTGGACCCAACTCGAAATAGTTCCGCTCAAGAGTGTGTTGGTTGGGAACTTGCGAGACTGTTTTTTGTTAGGGGGCCAGTTCGTGTTTGTTCGATAGTTGGCCACAAAATTACGAATGAACATTTTGCATGATTTTTGTAAATCACAAGCCATCCCGCTACCCAGCGAAAGATGAGCTGAGGACCTTAATTTTGAGAGCCGAAGGCACGCACTTCCCCGTCACATATCTCTTCAAAGTACCAGCAAAATAAAACGTCGCGAGTGAAATACAGAGCGCAAAATGCCAAAACCACGACACAGAGAGAGACTCGTTGCGAGAGGTGTGGGGAGCGGGAGAAATACGGTGAGGAAGAGGTGTTCAGAGCGGGAGTGTGAGAAGGAAAGCCCTGGAAAAATCGAAGGAGAGGGGCAGAGATAGAGAGGAAGAGGCGCGGAGAGAGAGTGGAAGAGGCGCGGAGAGAGAGAGGAAGAGGCACGGAGAGAGGTGTGGAAGAGGTGCGGAGAGAGAGAGGAAGAGGCACGGAGAGAGAGAGGAGGATGTGCGGAGAGAGAGAGGGGAAGAGGCGCATAAACGAAGGGAGAGGTGAGGAGAGAGGGGAGAGGTTGAGTGCACGTCGAAAGGAGCAAGACTGTCGCCATGCGCCACCTTTTTTTTTCGCAGCGCAACTCTCATCCACTCTCCGCCTCGCTCTCTTTCTTGTCGCGCCGCTCTACACGCTCCGACGGTGCTACACACTCTATCCAGCCGCGCTTTTCTCTCTCTCTCCCGCCGTGCTACTCTGCCTCTCTCCCATCTCGCTACTCTCTCTCTCTCTCTCTCTCTCTCCCATCGTGCTACTCTCTCTCTCTCTCTCCTGCTGCACTACTCTGACTCTCTCCCATCTCGCTGCGCTGCTCTCTCTCCCATCACGTTACTTTCTCTCTCTCTCCCGCCGCGCTACTCTCTGTCTCTCTCCCATCTTACTCTGCCGCTCTCTCTCCCATCGCGCTACTTTCTCTCTCTTGCTGCACTACTCTCTCTCTCTCTCTCCTGCCGCGCTACTCTCTCTCTCTCTCTCTCTCTCTCTCTCTCTCTCTCTCTCTCTCTCTCTCTCTCTCTCCCGCCGCACTACTCTGTCTCTCTCCCATCTCGCTACTCTCTCTCTCTCTCTCTCTCTCTCTCTCTCTCTCTCTCTCTCTCTCTCTCTCTCTCTCTCTCTCTCTCTCTCTCTCTCTCTCTCTCCCATCGCGCTACTCTCTCGCTCTGGCCCGCTGCGCTACTCTCTCTCTCTCTCTCTCTCTCTCTCTCTCTCTCTCTCTCTCTCTCTCTCTCTCTCTCTCTCTCTCTCTCTCTCTCTCTCTCTCTCCCGCCGCGTTACTCTGTCTCTCTCCCATCTCGCTGTGCCGCTCTCTCTCCCATCGCGCTGCTCTCTCTCTCTCTCCCACCGCGTAACTATCTCTCTTTCCCTCCTGCCGCGCCACTCTCTCCCTATCTTGTTGCGTCACATTTTCCTAACTGTTCCTAGGCACTAAGGCGGAAAAAACAAGGGGTCAACTAGCGGAACTAGGTAGCTAGGCGTCTGTTAGTAGCTTACAACTAGCCAGGAAATGAACTTTCGCGTAGGAAATAGAGAAGTGCTCTTTGCAGCACTTATGAACCCAGGCCCAACTTGAAAACCGAGTTGGGCCCAAATTGACCCGAAAGCCTCAACCCGTCGCATGCACTCGCCATGCCAGAATGCCACGGGGAAACGCTAACCCTGACAAGCATTTTGTGTAAGAAATACAGCTTTGGCACGTCGCCAGTTTCGTCTCGCGATGATCATGTTGGCGGGATCCAATCAGCTTTGAGATCAAACTTCATTTTTTCAACCCGCTTCACTTTGGAACAGTAATTCGTCAGCCGAGGTTTCCAAGAGAAGTCACTAGGGGAAGTCCACTTAACCTTCTCGCTTTAAGTTATTTTTTCATTTCCAGCATCTGGTATTGAACGCGCTAAAGTAGGAATACGCCATAAATATATTTGTTGACACTTCCTCATTATTTTATGATCCCAACACAATGGAAGTTATTGTCAAACATATATTGTTATGTTTGTGTAAATTGTATAGGTTTGTACCTTAGAGGGTACAACCCTTATGACATATACCCTTGTACACAATGCATTCTAGTCATTCTCTGTTTCTGATATGGTATCACGAGTAGGTTAGGTCCCCCTGCCCACCCGAGCTTCCGCCCTAGGTCCTAGCCGCCCGTTCCCCCTAGCTAGCCCGCGCCCGCCCCTAGTCGGCCCCGCGCCCGTTCCTAGCCGGCCCTCGCGCCCGTTCCTAGCTGGCCCCGTGCCCGTTCCTAGCCGGCTCCCACGCCCGCTCCTAGCCCCCCCTTGCACCAGTTCCTAGCTGGCCCTCGCGCCCGTTCCAGCCGGCCCTCGCGCCCGTTCCTCGCCGGCCCTCGCGCCCGTTCCTAGCCGGCCTTCGCGCCCGTTCCAGCCGGCCCTCGCGCCCGTTCCCGTCGGCCCTCGCGCCCGTTTCTAGCCGGCCCTCGCGCCCGTTCCAGCCGGCCCTCGCGCCCGCACTGCACCGCACCGCTCCGCTCTACACCGCACTGTACTGCACTGCACCGCATAGCACCACACTACACCGCACTGCACCACTCTGCACCGCACTACACAGCACTGCACCACTGCTGCATCGCTCCTGATGGCGGACTCCGTGCTCCGCTTTGACGCAGAGGGTCAGCCGCTTGAGTTTGACACGTGGCTGGTCGACCTCCGCCGTCATGTCACTGGTCAGCGGCAGGATGGCCACTCCCTGGCGGTCCACCTTGACGGTACGCTTCCCTGCCCTGACCCCCCTGCTGCCCTGCCCGCTGACCCCTCGTCCGCTGACCGTGAGTCTGCTGCAGCTGCTGCCCTTGCCCGCTCAGTCTGGTTGTCGCGTGACGCCGTTACGCAGCTTGCGATTAGTCATGCCCTCCCCCTGTCTCAGCGCCCCCGCTTTCGGTCGGTCACGACAGCGCAGGAGTTCCTAGATGCTGTTGTCAAGCGCTATTCCACCCCGCCGGCTGCCTCTGTAGGTCGCCTGATCCTCCTGATGCTCTTTCCTGACCTTGCGTCTTTCCCCACTGTCGCTGACCTGGCCGCTCACCTGCGCACGATAGACGCGACCTAGCGCTCTGCCTGCACTAAGACCCAACTTAGAGCCTTTCAGCCGCCCATCTGCTCTACCCTCTACCTGCTTGCCACCCGCCTCACTGACCGCCTTGCTACTGCTCGCGATCGCTCTCTTAGCATCCACCCCGGTGACCTCACACTCACTAACTTTGTCGACACCCTGTCTGCCATAGAGAACCGCCAGCGCTCTATCGCCCAGACCAGCGGTACTATGCCGGTCCCTATCTTTTAGAGTTGTGCCCTTGCTCAGTGCACCTTCTCAGACAGTTCCGTTGCTTTGGCTGAGACCGCAGCTGCAGCACAGTTCCGTCCAGGGAAGGGTCGCCGCCCGAAGGCTGGGCACGGCGGTGGGGGTGGCGGTGCAGGTGGAGGTGGTGGCGCTGACAAGGGGACCGTGCCTGGTGCAACCAAGCAGCCGTCCCAGCAGCCGCAGGCGTCACAGCCGGAGCAGCACCAGCAGCAGCAGCAGTCCCAGCCTCAGCTGCAGCAGCCGCAGCAGCCGCAGCCGCAGCGGCGAGCGAGTGGTCTCCCGCCCGGGTGGCCTGGCGCTGGTGGTGGCGGTGGACGTGGTGGCCGTGCGCGTGGTGTGCCTTCCGGTGGCAGTTCGGGTGACGGGCGCTGTCAGTACCAGCTCCAGACCGGTCCTCACCTTGGCTCCGTTTGCGGTAAGATCGGTCACACCCCAGTCCGCTGTTTTCGTTGCCTGGATGACTTGTTTCATCATCGCTTCGGCCCGTCGCCCGACCTCCCCGACTGGAAAAGCTTGCTTCGCCGTAGTGTTCCGATTTTTGATATGGACATGGATGAGATTTGTTCCGCCCTGCATGTGTTGTATGCTGATGACTCTAGTGTGACTGGTTTTTACTACCCCTTGTTGCCTAGTGTAGGCGTGTCTAGTCTTGCCTCCCCTGCTGCGTCAGGCGTAGGATCCCCTGCCTTGTTTAGCCTTGGTTCTTCCTTTGCTGCTCCGACTCCGGCCGCCACTGCTGTGCTCTCCTTCACCCTGGACTCTGGCGCTTCCCGGTGTTTCTTCCGCGACTCCACTATGCTGACGCTACTTGCTGCTCTTGCTGCAGTTTCCCTTGCCGACCCCTCCTCCGGTCTGGTAGTCGCCCGCAGTTCCACCACCCTTCCCTGTTCGGCGGCTACTTCGGGCTCTTTTACAGGCCTGCACATCCCCTCGTTCACCAGGAACCTAGTTGGTGTCGGCTTCCTCCAGAACCTTGGCGTCACCACTACGTTACCTGGTCACGAGCGGTTTGCTGTCTGTACCAAGGCCGCCCTGGTGCTCCCCTCACCACGTTCCCCCAGGACCCGGTGTCCGGCCTGTTCACACTGGACACCGCGCCCCCCCCGGTTGGGATGTCTCCTCAAGTGGTTGCATTTACCCAGGTTGCTGCGGCCTGCTCGTGTCAGTCGCTTACTCACCCAACACTCCTGTGGCACCACCGTCTAGGTCACCCTGCGCTCCCGCGTCTGCGTCACATGTCTCAGCATGGTCTTGTCCTAGGTCTCCCACGGTCGTTCCCCGAGTTGCCCTCCTCCCCAGCGCCACCATGCATGCCCTACGTCGAGGGCCGGCTCCGCCATGCCTCTCACTCCTCCTCGTTCCCCCCCACCGCCGCACCGCTACAGACCCTGCACATGGACGTCTGGGGCCCCGCCCCCGTCCATGGGCCGCGTCGAGAGCGCTACTTCCTCGCGCTTGTCAACGACTACACGCGCTACACCACGATGTTCTCCCTAGAGCGGAAGGCCGACGTGCTTGACGTTTTTATCCCGTGGCTTGTCTCTGCGCATGTCCACGCATCGGTTTGGTCATGGAGGTGGCTCGTGCCTCCATGATCCATGCCGGTGCACCCCATTTTCCATGATCGTTTGCCGTTCGCTACGCCGCTCACCATCTTAACCTGTGGCCGCCAGCAGCCGCAGGTTTCACCGACCCTTCTTTGGTCCAGGTCTCCTGGTGACGCGTCTGCGTTCAACATCTAGGGCTGCCTTGCTCACGTCCATGCCTCTGGCACGGACAAGCTCACTGCCCGCACCCTCCCCTGTGTCTTCCTAGGTTTCCCCCTCGACTCGTCTGACAGACACTTCTACCACCCGCCATCTCACCGTTTCTTTCACTCCCGCAAAGTCACCTTTGACGAGTCCACCTCCTTCTACCACCGCTTTCCCCACCGTGGTCCCCCGGTTACCCCCCCTCTGTTCCTGGTTCCCCCTTCCTCGGTTGCCCCTACCCCTCCCCCTCCCCCTCCCCGTCCTGCCCCGTCTGGTGTGTCTCACGTCACCCCCCTCACGTCGGCTGTCCCGGGTGAGGAGTCTGCTGACTCTGGTGGCCCTGCGGTGTAGTCCTCGCCGCCTGCCCCTCCCCAGGTGTGTCCTCCTCCACCGCCTCCGCAGCCGCCGTCGCCACTGCTGTCGCAGCCACCGTCACCACCGCCACAGCCGCCGCAGTCGTCGTTGCAGCCGCCGCCGCCGCCGCAGCCGTCGCCGCAGCCGTCACAGCAGCAGTTCGTTGACTCTGGGGGTGCTGGCGTTGGGGTGGGTACTAGTCCTGGGGTTCCTGTCGTGGCTTGTCCCGGCGGGCCTGGGGGTGGTACCGGTGCAGGAGGGGTTTCGGGCTCTGGGGGTGTTGCTTCTGGGGGTGCTGGAGTGGAGTGTTCCAGAGGTAGCCCTGGAGCAGCTTGCGGTCCCGGTATCGGTGTTGTGCCGCTGCAGCAGCAGTCACCGCCGGTGTCAGCCCTTCGCCTTCTCCGCCTTCCGTCCCCTGACCACGCGTCTCTGCCTCTCCTGCCATTCCCTCCTCTCCCTGTTTACGGCCCTGTGTTTCCCCCCCCGGACTCGACTTCGGCTCGTCTTCCCCATCGTTCCCCTCTTGTTTTCCCTCCTCTGTCTCCCGACCCGACGCCTCCGTCTCACGTTTGGTCTCGCCGTCAATCCCGTGCTCGCCCTGTCTCCCCTGACTCGTGCTCTCACCCTATGTTGCTACGTTCCCACGCGTCTCATCCTCCCCTCCTACTGTCGCCTCCTCCATCCTCCCTTGTTGTTGCGCCTCCCCCTCTGTCTGACTACCTTCGTGCCGCTCGTCCTCTTGTTCCTCGGGTCCTTGCCTCTCTCGTTACCGACCCGTCTGTTCCGGTCTCGCATCTTGACGCTCTTGTCGCTGTGGTCGCTGACTTTGCCTCTACCCACCGCCTTGACTACGCCACTGCTCTGGTCCCTGACCCTTCCCGTCCTCCGACTGTCGGGGGTGCTCCTACCCTCGGCAGTGACGTCCTAGAGGACCGCCAGTACGAGCTTGCTTTCCTGTCCGAGGCTGCTTCCCATCTCTGTTCCATGCTGCTAGTCCCTGAGGGTGACCCAGACGCTTTCGACATCCCGACCCCTCGCACTTACGCTGAGGCGACCTCGGGACCTTGGGCCTCATAGTGGATAGCTGCCATGGAGCAGAAGATGGCATCTTGGAGATCCACCGGAACTTACGTCGACACAGTTTCCCCACCTGGGGTGAACGTAGTCCATGGCCGGTGGCTCTTTGAGGTGAAGCGCCCCCTTGGAGAGCCGCCTGTGTTCAAGGCACGCTACATGGCTAGAGGCTTCAGACAGCGTGAGGGGGTGGACTTCTTTCAGACCTTCGCCCCGACCTCGAAAATGACTACTCTTCGGGCGCTGCTACATGTAGCAGCACAGCGTGACTACGAGTTACACTCCCTCGACTTCTCCAATGCGTTTCTTCAGGGCAGCCTACATGAGCAGGTCTACCTACGCCGCCCTCATGGCTTCACTGGTACCTTCCCTCCTGGGACCCAGTGGCTCATGCGGCGCCCAATCTACGGCTTGTGGCAGGCGCCCCATGAGTGGCACGACATGCTGTGTGCTACCATTGCAGACCTGCAGTTCTTTCCGTCCTCTGCAGACCCCTCGCTCTTCGTTCGTGCTAGCCAGACCCCGTTCTACACCCTCGTTTACGTAGACAACCTGGTATTTGCCAGTGCAGACACTCACGCGCTGGCCTTTGTGAAGACAGAGCTGCTGAAGAGACACACCTGCACTGACCTAGGAGAACTGCGCCACTACCTTGGCCTGCAGATCTCCAGAGACAGAGCAACGCGCACCATCACCCTCACCCAGTCACACTTGGTGCGCCACGTCCTTCAGAGGTTCGGTCTTCAGTTCTCCTTCGCACAGCCCATACCTCTTCCAGTAGATCACAGGCTCTCTGCTCTTGTTTCTGAGGAGTCAGCAGAGCCCTGTCGTCCTTACGCTGAACTGGTGGGTTGCCTCATGTACCTGATGACTTGCACTCGTCCAGATTTCGCATACCCTCTCAGCATCCTGGCTCGCTTTGTGGCCACGGGCAGACACCGACCTCAGCACTGGTCTGCCGCTAAGAGAGTTTTGTGTTATCTCGCAAGTACATCGGGCATGGGGTTAGTGCTGGGAGGACGCAGGCCAGTTGTCCTTACTGGACACACAAACGCTTCTTGGGCAGACGACGCCGAGACCCTCAGGTCCTCTCAGCGCTACT